GGTCTATTTTTCATCTTAGGAAGATCGCTCTGGGAGCAGCGCATAGCCACATGGCAGAAAGAGGTGCGGGGGGTGGGGGGGGGAAGCAAGGAGAGTGCAAGATGAGGGACAGTAAGACTAGTTAAGAGACTATTAATATAGTTGGGTTGACTAGCGATTGCCAAACCTAGTTTAGCATCAGACTTTTTTTTTTGGGGGGGGTGTTTTGTTGCTGCTTTGTTTTAATATAGATTCCGAAACTCTCCAGAGGTTGGCAGGCACAAGGGTTGAGGTATCTGCTAGTTCCCTCTGAGAAAGCCTCAGGCCCCTTCTAAGAAATGATCCTTCCTAGCAACCACCATTTCCTAAAGGAAAACAAGAATAGTTAACTTTCTGGTTTTTTAATTTGAAATCCCTGGGTGCAGGGTGGAGTAGTCAGACAAGGGTTGCCTGGGCTGGAAGGAATCGAGAGAATGGGCTGGCGCCTGTCTTTGGAGGAGGTCAATGGGTCTGATCGGGGGGAGCACGGAAAGGAAAGAGACTCAGCATCAGGACATGGCCACAAGGGAACCAAAGGGGAGCTGATCCAACACCTATATAATTACCGCCCCATTCCAGCAAGCATAGGCAGAATGTGGAAGAACCACATTCATGGTTCTGCTTTTAGTCACCATCCACTATGGGGCTCCCATTCACAGCTGTGTCCCCAGTGGCTCTATGACTCCAGACTTTGTTGGCCTTATGCTGAACTGCTTCATGTGGATAATAGATAAGTCCCATTTTAATGCCCGAAACACTCAAGAGCCATTGCATTTCCATCCTGTGGATGAACCATAATTCATCAAACCATTCCCCCTGTCCTCAGATGTTAGTTTCCAAATTTCCACTAGTAAATTTAACACTGCACTAAATATTTTATGCATAAAACTTTTACTGCTATCACTTGTAACTCTAAGATATCTAATATTATTTGATGGAACCTGGTAATGGTTATTTTTCTGAGTTTAAGATACCTAGTCTCAAGCACTATTTCCTTCCCAAAGGATGCAATTAGAGATCATTTGATAAAATTCAATACCTGTTGATGATAAAAAAACAAACAACTCTTAAGAAGCAAAAAATAAAAGGTCATTTCCTTAACTTGATAAAAGTTACCTACTAGAAACCCAGAAAGCAACCAACTTAATGGTTCCCTTCAAAGTTAGAAATGAGATATGAATCCCCATTACCATTTTAACAACACTGTACTGGAGGTCCTAGAAAAGAAAAAACGAAGGATGGACAGAAACTGCTACCTCTTCCGAGGGTTAGAAAAACAGGCATTCTCATTCACTGGTGTATAGTAAGTCCAGCCTTTATGGATGGCAACTGGAAATATGTATAAAGGCTTGAAAAAGGTACCTACTTTCTGACCCAGCAATTTCACCTCTGTGAACATACCCTAAGGAAGTAATTAAGATTGTGCACAAAGA